CACCAGTAAAAGTCCTCTTCATTGAGACTGAAAGAACTAAAACACAATCGTCTGATAATTGGTTGGCAATTAATATTCTGTAAGGACTAATTGATCCTTGCTGGCACGCTTCCAATTACAACAATAACCTTCGAAAGCCAAAAAGTCAACATATATTTTTGGCACGCCTAGTGGGACGTCAAGTGTAATAAATGAAAAATGAATTAGATTTGTCCATTTCAAATAGCCTAGATGAAATTTATTGGCGTAAACAAGAAATTTTGGATCTTCAAGAAGAGATCCATTTTCTTGATGAAATAAATTTTCATCCCTTACAATGTTATTTGGTGGAAGAAAAAAGACATCATTTAATTAGAGAAATTCATCAACTTGATATGGAAATTTGCCAATGGAATGATGAGTTATCAACTCTCACTACCAAGTCTTTAACTGAGGCCTTAATGGCTGGAATTGGTGAATTTTTTCAGAATTTTTTCATGGTTAAAAATAGTAAAAGCAAAGAGTTGATTTCATCAATGGCTCGAGATGTTCAAGAGTCCGTTTTTAAAGAGCCAAATTATGAAATTAACATAACGAAAGAGCATGTTCTTGAGCCAAATTTGGCTAAGAATGATGTTCCATGCATGGTTCGGGGGGTCTGAAAACCAATTTTTAGAGAGTCAAGTCATGAAAATAACATATCTATGGGTGATTTTCATAAGCCATTAATGGCTAACATGGAAAAACAACCCACTTTGCCAAATAATTATGAAAATCTATTCGGCAAAAGTCATGTTTTTAAAACAAACATGGTCAAAAATAATGAACAAGCCACTATTCATGAATTCAAAATTTTTGACATTTTTCAAAATGTCAAAAAGTATGAATTTTCATGGTCACACTATACCATGACTTTTGTTGTTCGAAATCTATTTTGGATTTGTGGATCACATCAAACGTTGACTTTAATGGAATGGCTAACAAATAATATTTCGTTATTGCAATATATTGAGCCAAAAATGTTGTTATTAGTTGATCCATAAAACCATCACCATTTGGTTTTGTGGTTACCTTCGAAGCATGTCTCAAGACACTTCGAAGTAGATTATTCATTGAAATATCATTTTATAGCCATTAATGGCTAGTTAAAATGCCAAACTACTTTCATAATAATCCAACTCTTTGGATTTAGTTCGAAAAGATGTTGTGAGCACTTTCGAAGGACGACTTTGATCCTATAGTAACATATGTGACTTTCGAATGGTGGTTTTGTTATCAATAAACACCTTCGAAATGTAACATGGGGTGAGAAAACTTTCGAAATGTGTATCTCTCTTCAAATATATGTAAAATGGCAATTAAATAGTTGTCGAATAATGCCTATTTTTGGCATGATAAGTTGGTTCGAAGAACAACAGTTTTGGTGTCTTCGAAGAATTAATAATTGGTTCGAAGCACAAAATTAATATTTTCACTAATTATGTATGAATCAAAACATACAAAATTTGAATAACCACAATGTTGGCCAAAAGTTACTTCGAAGGCCCTTTTGCCATAATTTTGTAAGCTTCGAAGTATTCCAACTTGCATTAACAGCTTCGAAGAAACAATAATGGTGGTTGCGAACCTTCGAAGCTTTGCCGAATATTTCCAAGGATGTAATTTGTCCTTTGTCGGCACTTTCAACCTTCGAAAGATGATTTTGGTCCTTTATACCACATTCGAAGCTTGTTACTAGTCCATAATAGCTAGCATTCGAGACATCATAATTTCATACTCATTCGAAGCACTTCATTGGTGCTGTTACATCATTCGAAGCACTTTGTTGATATTATTTGAAGCACTTTATTCCTTAGATCAGTCATATGCTTGGTTCGACCCTTCAAAAATTCAAATAAACATCATTTTTAAGGGCCGCAGAGGGTAATGTTGGCACCATAAATCTACAATTTTTTTATTTATTTATTATTTATATAATTGCAGGACATGTGGCATCCTCCTACTCATTTGGAGGTTATGAGAAGTTATAAAGGCATGGAGGGTTATGTGGCATTATGGGAATGAAGATGGAAGAGTGGGTAGTTTTAGGTGGTTATTGGGTAGTTATTGTTGGAAGTTTTTTCCTTCAAATATTTGTCTATAAATAGTCATTCATGACTACATTGTAAAGGATCTAGAATTCATAATCAAAGACAATTGATTTCAATATTTCTTGTCATTTTCCTTATCTTAGGAGTAGTTTAACATAGATTTATATTTCGAAGCATTTATTTTCAGCATTTCCATTTCGAAGCATTTTATGCACTTTCTTTTCAAAGTATAGGAGTAGAGGTAAGTAATTATTACTTTGATTATTCACTCAATCGTCTTTCTCGTTCTCCCTCTTTCTTCTTTTACTTTTTCTTTTCTTTACACTTGACAATTTTGAAGTTCTCTTCGTTGAGACAAAAGAACCGTCAACACAATCGCTTGATAATTGGCTTGAATTTAATCTGTAAGGATTTTTCAATCCTTGCTGGCACGTTTGCATTTATGATATTTTCCTTCGTAAGAAAAATAAGCCAATAGAGATAAAAGTTTGAAGAAAAATAATTAGTTATTATTGTTTGGCACCTTATTAGAGGGATAATTAGGGTGATGAAATAGGAGATGTAGTAAGACTTATTATTGTTTGGCACCTTATTAGAGGGATAATTAGGGTGATGAAATAGGAGATGTAGTAAGACTCTTCTATAAATAAATAAAAATATAATAGTGGTGATGAAATAGGAGATGTAGTAAGACTTTTCTATAAATAAATAAAAATACAATAGTTAGAAAAAAGTAATTAATTATAAAATTAACATAATTAATATATCTATTATTGGAATGAAAGTGAGTGTGATTACTCTAAAATTATAAGTTCAGCCTCAATAAAATATCAATGTAATTAACTGGAAAAAAAAGCCAATGCCTTGAAATTAAGGTCAAGTTTGGGAAGTCTCAAAAAAGTCAAAAAGTCAAAAAGTTACTCAAAAAGTTAAAAAGTTATCACTATTCATCAAAAGTTAACAATTACGGCTGCACAACTCCCAATTCTAATTTTCCCCTATAAATCAATTTTTACAATTTTTTATTACACATTTTTTCATAAAAAATCAAAAAGTTAACCCAAATATTCATATTTTTAACCTCAACTTTTTAGTCTAAAAAAGACAAAAAATATACTTATTTAGGACATTCCAAACAACCCCTAAGTTTGCTACCCCAACTTTTTAAGATTGCATGTCAACTAGTAGGTTGAGTTAGGCTCAGGAGCCATCCAAATTAGCTCGAGTTTTATTAAGATTTGTTTAAGCCTAACTTTTGAGCCAAGATCTTCAAGCCATGCACAACACATGCTTATTAAATTTAGTTCGAATTCAGAGCAAGTAGCTTGCATTTATATGTATATAATCCACATATTTTATATCTTTCCACATTTTAAACTTAGGTCTCGTTTGGGAGCTATATAAAAAGTTAAAAAATCAATATAAGTTGTTACATCATTTTCTTTATTTTTTGACACATCTTTTCTTAAAAATTCAAAAAATTACTAAAACTTTGTTTGGAAAGTGAATTGGCTTTTTAGATTTTTAATTTTTAGCCTAATGCTAAAAACCTCATTTGGGTTGGAATTTTTTAACTTTTATGAGAGAAAAAGTGAAATGATTATGATTTGAATGTAACATTTTATCTTATTAATTTTTTAGCCTAATTTATTTTTTTGTGACTATTTTAGTTCTCAATCTCATTTTAGCCCCATGTCAAACAAAGGCTAAAATAACCCATAATTTTTTGTCTTGTTTTAGGTAAATTACACTAATCATTCCTTTCCAAGATTTTGAAAAAAATAAAATAAACCCTACACGTTTGACATAATTACATCAACTTTTTTGAATAAGATTAAAAATACAAAATTAATACAGATGATTTATAGACAAAAATAATCAAAAATAAAATACACATTTTAACGAAAATAAGATAACATCAAATTTTTTTTATGAGAATCGCTATTTTTACTCTACTTTACTCTAAATATACTATTTTTATAAAATACTTGTGTTTAGAGTAAATAAAATGGGAATATCGACTAGCAAAAAAAACCAATGAAAATTTGATAAAATAAACTTACAGAACAAAGGGAATTAAACTAATTTATTGGCTCAACAACATTAACATTAATAAAAGTAAACGTAATTTACTCTCTTTTTTTTTTTTCTTACCATAATCACGTAAAATTGGCCTTTTATCGTAGCAGGCTAGCAGCGTTTACAATAAATTAAAAACACGCAAAAGTAGTCTATAGTCCTCTCATAATAATATTTAGTTTGAGTTTTTTGAATTAAATTTTTTAAAAATTAATTTTTTTAATTTTTATATTTTTTTATTTTTAGTAAATATTTTTTAAATTTTAAATATTTTTTTATTTTTTTAAATGTACCTTACTTAGATATATTTAAAAAAAAAATTTATAAAAAAATATTTTAAAAAATTAATAAATATATAAAAATATACTGAATTCTTGTATTTTTTTATATTTTTAATATTTAGTAAATTTTTAAAAGATTTTTTTTTATTTTTTGAGTGTATTTATGTTAAGTGTGTCTAAAAAATAAAAAAATTACTTAAAATTTTAAAAAAATTCAGTAAAAATAAAAAAATACCAAAAATAAAAATAAAATTTTTTGAAAAGTAAAAACAAGTCAGGTAATTTCTTCTCCTTTTCCACCATGTATAATTTTTGGACCCACCACTTCTCATTTCCAAGCACAACCCAACTCGAGCGAAACCTTCAAACTAATCTCAGCCGTCGGATTCGCATTCACCCCCTTTGACTAGCTTTTCCCCTTCCACCCGGTTTCTCGGTCAGCTTCCCTTCTCTCATTCAAATCAATCTCAGCCGTCCGATTCACATTCACCCTTTGACTAGATTTCCCCTTCCACCCGGTTTCCCACTCACCCTAATCTCCTTTATAACCCCCTTCCCCTCTCTTCCACTTTCCCCCACTCTCCCACTTTCTCTCTCTACATTCATTCATCCATGGCCGCCTGAGCTTCCCACTTCTCTCTCTATCTCACTCTCTCTCTAGAATACATACACAGACATATATATATATATAACTTCAATGGCGGTGGAGCTGTTGGGGTTTCCGAAGATGGATGAACAGATGGCGATACAAGAGGCGGCTTCAGCTGGATTGAAAAGCATGGAACATCTGATTCGCATAATTTCTCATCAGTCTCAGCAGAGGCAACAACAACAACAACAACCACCTTCTTCGAATCAGTTGGATTGCGGAGATCTCACTGATTTCACTGTTTCCAAGTTCAAAAAAGTCATTTCAGTTTTGAATCGGACCGGCCACGCTCGGTTCCGCCGCGGTCCGCCTTGTCCTCCGTCGTCTTCCTCCTCGTCTCTTCACGATCAGACTCCGACGCCTGCCTCTGTGGCTCCGGCGAGCTATCATCCCCAATCGCAGCCTCAATTGATGACTCTTGACTTCACGAAACCTAATCTGCTTAACTCGAACCCTAAGAGCAGCGAGATCACTAAGGAGACCTTCAGTATATCGCAGCCGATGTCGTCGGCGAACTCGTCGTTCGTGTCGTCGATCACCGGCGAAGGCAGCGTATCTAACGGAAAGCTAGGGACGTCGTCGCTCTTCATGGTTCCGGCGGCGCCGGCGGTTTCCGCCGGTAAGCCGCCGCTCTCCTCCTCATCGAACCGGAAGAGGTGCCACGAACACGGTCACTCCGAGGAACTTTCCGGCAAGCTATCTGGCTCCGGCCGGTGTCACTGCTCAAAGAAGAGGTATGTTGTGGTGAACTCTACGCACCTTTCTTTTGACCATGGCACGCGTGAGTCGTGAGAACGATACGTAACGCATACTGCGCACGATAGCATAGCCGCTCACGTTTCAATTCGTTTTTTTTTTTTTTGTTAAAATAATAATAATTTTTATTGAATTTTTATTATTTAGGAAATCTCGGGTGAGGAGAACTATCAGGGTCCCAGCGATAAGTCCGAAAGTCGCCGATATTCCGGCGGACGAGTACTCTTGGAGGAAGTACGGTCAAAAGCCGATCAAGGGATCACCATATCCACGGTAAATACCCTGGTCCTTCGCAATCAAGACCGTCGAATTCTATTGATCATCGTCTTTTCCATATGATCTGATTGCAAAAGAAACTAAATTGATTTTGATTGTGTGATTGTTTAGGGGATATTACAAGTGCAGTAGCGTGAGAGGATGTCCGGCGAGAAAGCACGTCGAGAGAGCGACAGATGATCCGACGATGCTGATCGTAACGTACGAAGGGGAGCACCGGCATACGCAAGCCGTGATGCAGGAGAAAGTAGCCAGTGGAGTGGTGGGTTTGGACTTTGGCCTTTGAAAAAAACAATTACTAATTAAAAATAAAAAAAAAAGAAGGAAAAAATAGTAAAGTCAAATGTTAGAAGAGAGACTTTTGTAATATTTTGTTTAGTTTGAGGGGGTTTGGTGTAAATTTGGGAAGACAATAGAGTGGACAAACAAACCAGCCAAAAGTGTTTTGTTTAATTAATTTGCAAGTGGCCCTTTTACTAACTTTATTTTAATTTCAAGTGCTTTGAATGTACGAAAAATTTTATTTATTTAATTTTTTTTTCGTTTGGCTTTTACTTATGCCTGAAGTATCTATTTATTTACCAAGTCAAAGTAGTTTTATGTGGTTTTGGTGGGTTGGTGAGTTGTGGACAGCTAAGCAAATTGCGTGAAATATTCTATTCTACGAGAAAAAAGTGCTTGTTGACTTCTCGCCGATGTGAAGTTGACATGGTTCCAATAAGCACTACTCAAAATTGTCCCATCTTCGAAATATTTCAAAAAAAAAAAAAGAAAAAACAAGTGGGAAATGAAAAGTTGATCAATTAAGGGAAAATAACTACTCAATAATTTCAAAAAAATTATTATAAAATTCATTAAAATTTTTAATTATTAATATACGTAAATTTTTTTAATTAATCAGTGCGCAATGAAAAGTTGATAATTGTTTTTTAATAAAATTTATAACTTTTTCTGTTTGATTCCACATCTATCACTTATATTATGACTTGTTTGTTATGACTTTATTTACCAGGGATAATTGAGATTTTATAATTTGTGAATTTTTTTTTTTTTTTGAAATTTTCAAACAAAAATTCATTTATTTGTTAACTTAATTAAAAAATATGAATGTTGAAAATAGAGAAATAATTTTAGATAGAAAGGATATCATATTATATAATGTGACACTTGATACTTAAGGGTTGTTTGGAATGACCTAAATAAGTGTATTTTTTGTCTTTTTGTGAAAAGATGTGCAGAAAAGTAAAGAGTTGATGTGATTGAAAAAAGATAAAAAGATGAATTATTTTAAAGTTATCAAACTTGGCCTTATAATAGTATATTAGTAAAATTTACTAATTTTTCTTATCAACTTTATATAGTAATAAAATTTTAAAAATTGAAATAAAAGTCACTTAGACATGGTCTATTTTAATAATATGATAAATTTTAATAATTTTTGAATAAAAATAAATAATTTATATAATATTATTCATAAATTATTAGAGTTGTTCTTGAATGGATGAATGTCCTTTGTCTTTTTCTTTGCTATTCTTTTTTTTTTTTTTAATAATTATGTGACCATTGACCATTTGAGTTTTGAATTGCTATTCTTTTTTCATTACTCTCTTCATTTTCTTCGCTATTCTTTTTTTTATATATATATATATATATATATAATTATTTTGACCATTGACCATTTGAGTTTTGAAGATTTTTCCTTGGCTTTTTCTCATTATCTTTTTCTCTCTCGTCTTTTTGAAATTTTAAGTATTGATAACATCGTCACCTTCTCATTTTCTTTTCCTTTCTTCTAATCTTTTTAAAATTCTAGCCCTCTATTATCTTTCATCGCTGCCACTACAAAATTCTTCTTGCTACCCTGATAATTCTTCATCTCTTCCACTATTCTTAGTCCCTCTTTGTTGGCGGCCACTGCAAAGTTCTTTTTGACACTCCAATCCTTCCCATATCCTTTTGTAGGAGAGGGTTCAAGAAAAGAGTTAGAAAATTCGAAGATCTTCAAAGATCCTTGAAGAACAATTTCGAATTCTCTAGAATATGATGAGAGGCTTAGATTCTTCAATAATCTCAACTTAGGAACACGACAACAAAGGAGATGATGGAGATAAGAGATTGGGTGAAGAAGAAGGCAAAATGGCTAGAGAATAGAATAATGGCAAGGCTCTCCCATTGATCTCCCACTTTCACTCTCAAGGTTGATAATGGAGAAGGGAAATTAGTTCTTTCCCAAGAATTCAAAAATCTCCAAAATCCCTCCCTTGTAAAGCTATGGGTGGGTGCTATTTATAGGCACCTCATGATGTAGGATGGAGCCCATGTGCAAGGCACATGGGGGATATTCTCTCTAACCACCTTGTCCGAGGTAAACCTCACAAACTTTTGCTCAGCCGCCGAAATTACCCAAATTTCTTCTCTTAGCCTAGCCTGTCTCTATATTGAGTGACCCAGTTCTTCATTTTCAAGAAAAACTTTGCTCCTGTAATACTACTAGACGCCATTGTCGAGCTCTCTCTCTTCAACAAAGAGAGACCCAACTTTCTTCTTCATCAATTGGCGCTCCGCAGCTACCAAACCGAAGGCCACCGTGACCAGCTTGCACACTGGCCATCGTCGCATCCCCAAGCACCATCACCATCTTTGTCCGCCTATTGCAGATATTCGGAACACACCTACCACAACCCGAGCTGCTGCTAACTTACATCGACGCCAGCTCTACCTCATCGTCGATGCTTCATTTTGGCCCCAGCAACGCGACTTATCAAAACTCCGAACACACCAGAGCTCAGTCATGCTCCACCGAAGACCACAACTATTTGTGTGTTGCTTGTTGCAGCAGCCTTAGGTGCCGCAGCAGGCGCCCCAACCTGCGCTACTGTTCTTTGCTGTGCTGTTATTCATTGATTATATTTGCTCCGGACACGCCAACACCGCGACCCTAGCCATCGCCCATTCAGCTCGCCAACTTCAATATTTGCCCACCCCGGCGCCGCTTCATCACGATCTCGGTTTATACTGTTCTTGGCCACTCTCTCATGGGCGTCGCCTTCAGATCTGTAAGCATTTTTTCGAAACCCACTCTCGATCCTCTTGTTTTGATGAAATCTGAATTTCTGAGCCTTACTAGAAATTTGATTTGGGCCTTTGAGATTTGCGAGCATTATTGTGTATCAATTTTGAACTCGAGATAGCTGAAGCTTCCATTGAATCTTGACTTGCATATGAAATGTAATCCTGAAATTCATATTTTGGAGCTTCATTTTTGGTGGGCCTTGGTCTTCCTCTCAACTTTTTTTTTTTTTATTTTTATTTTTTTTGGCAAGTCAGCACACTCATCACGTGTATACACACGTATATAGAATATATGACAGAATAGGAATATTCAAAGAATAATTCCCCATTTTATTTCTATTTAAAGAAAAGCCCAAAACACTAAACCTCATAAACTTTTGCTCAACCGCCGAAATTACCCAAATTTCTTCTCTTAGCCTAGCCTGTCTCTATATTGAGTGACCCAGTTCTTCATTTTCAAGAAAAACTTTGCTCCTGTAATACTACTAGATGCCATTGTCGAGCTCTCTCTCTTCAACAAAGAGAGACCCAACTTTCTTCTTCATCAATTGGCGCTCCGCTGCTACCAAACCGAAGGCCACTGTGACCAGCTTGCACACTGGCCATCGTCGCATCCCCAAGCACCATCACCATCTTTGTCCGCCTATTGCAGATATTCGGAACACACCTACCACAACCTGAGCTGCTGCTAACTCACACCGACGCCAGCTCTACCTCATCGTTGATGCTTCATTTTGGCCCCAGCAACGCGACTTATCAAAACTCCGAACACACCAGAGCTCAGTCTTGCTCCACCGAAGACCACAACTATTTGTGTGTTGCTTGTTGCAGCAGCCTTAGGTGCCGCAGCAGGCGCCTCAACTTGCGCTACTGTTCTTTGCTGTGCTGTTATTCATTGATTATATTTGCTCCGGACACGCCAACACCGCGACCCTAGCCATCGCCCATTCAGCTCGCCAACTTCAATATTTGCCCACCCCGGCGCCGCTTCATCACGATCTCGGTTTATACTGTTCTTGGCCACTCTCTCATGGGCGTGGCCTTCAGATCTGTAAGCATTTTTTCGAAACCCACTCTCGATCCTCTTGTTTTGATGAAATCTGAATTTCTGAGCCTTACTAGAAATTTGATTTGGGCCTTTGAGATTTGCGAGCATTATTGTGTATCAATTTTGAACTCGAGATAGCTGAAGCTTCCATTGAATCTTGACTTGCATATGAAATGTAATCCTGAAATTCATATTTTGGAGCTTCATTTTTGGTGGGCCTTGGTCTTCCTCTCAACTTTTTTTTGTTTTTTTTTTTATTTTTTTTGGCAAGTCAGCACACTCATCACGTGTATACACACGTATATAGAATATATGACAGAATAGGAATATTCAAAGAATAATTCCCCATTTTATTTCTATTTAAAGAAAAGCCCAAAACACTAAACCTCATAAACTTTTGCTCAACCGCCGAAATTACCCAAATTTCTTCTCTTAGCCTAGCCTGTCTCTATATTGAGTGACCCAGTTCTTCATTTTCAAGAAAAACTTTGCTCCTGTAATACTACTAGACGCCATTGTCGAGCTCTCTCTCTTCAACAAAGAGAGACCCAACTTTCTTCTTCATCAATTGGCGCTCCGCAGCTACCAAACCGAAGGCCACCGTGACCAGCTTGCACACTGGCCATCGTCGCATCCCCAAGCACCATCACCATCTTTGTCCGCCTATTGCAGATATTCGGAACACACCTACCACAACCCGAGCTGCTGCTAACTCACACCGACGCCAGCTCTACCTCATCGTCGATGCTTCATTTTGGCCCCAGCAACGCGACTTATCAAAACTCCGAACACACCAGAGCTCAGTCTTGCTCCACCGAAGACCACAACTATTTGTGTGTTGCTTGTTGCAGCAGCCTTAGGTGCCGCAGCAGGCGCCTCAACCTGCGCTACTGTTCTTTGCTGTGCTGTTATTCACTGATTATATTTGCTCCGGACACGCCAACACCGCGACCCTAGCCATCGCCCATTCAGCTCGCCAACTTCAATATTTGCCCACCCCGGCGCCGCTTCATCACGATCTCGGTTTATACTGTTCTTGGCCACTCTCTCATGGGCGTGGCCTTCAGATCTGTAAGCATTTTTTCGAAACCCACTCTCGATCCTCTTGTTTTGATGAAATCTGAATTTCTGAGCCTTACTAGAAATTTGATTTGGGCCTTTGAGATTTGCGAGCATTATTGTGTATCAATTTTGAACTCGAGATAGCTGAAGCTTCCATTGAATCTTGACTTGCATATGAAATGTAATCCTGAAATTCATATTTTGGAGCTTCATTTTTGGTGGGCCTTGGTCTTCCTCTCAACTTTTTTTTGTTTTTTTTTTCTCTTTACAATTTTCATATGAGTTTTTTTTTCTCCCCCCCCCCCAAATATTTTTTTTATCCATGTGTGAAATTACCTTTAAGGACAAAACACAAAAATTAAATATATTTTG